AGAGGCCTTCTCAGCAAGGCCTGCAGGCCTGCCCCCCCTCTTCCCTCTCTCTCTCTCTCAGGCACCCTAGCCTCATGGCCTACTTTCCTTGACCAAGTCTGGCATCTTTGCTGTCCCTACCCGGAGAACCCAGCCTCACCTCAGAAGCAGGACGTACCATGGAGCGTAAGAGAGGGCAAGGCTCTGCCACTCAGCACAAGACATTTTAGGATGCTGACTGCAGTCCCAGCAAATTCAAGCCCTGCTCATGCAGGGAGACGTGTGGGTCAGGCTAAGGAAAGTTGTTAAACCACCCCCAGGCTGCTTCTCTTCCTTGAAGTACTTCTGGTGGCCCAGATTATGCATCCTTGTGGCATTCAGTGCCCTGGCCTTGCTGGACAGTGTCGTCAGTGCCTAAAAAATCTTATTGCAGGCCCCAAAAAATGTTTTGGAGTTGTGGGTCTGAAAGTTTGCACAGAAAAAAGAAAGATGCACCCTACTTTTTTGTAAACCCCCCTAAAAGGGTTATTTGTCCATAAATCTCTGAACTTAATAATTTGAAGTTTGTAGGCTTCTTTCTCCAGAATTTGCTTGTAAATTCCATCCAGTTTTTATGTTAGCAGTCTGTTTATTAAATAGATACATTAAAATTTAAAAGCACTTAGGGAAATCTTGAAATGTGGCACACTTTTTCTCTTAGTGAAGGGCAACTATTCCTGCAGATTTCATCTACGTATGTCAGCAGAAAGGGGATGTGGGTGCTGGCTTATTTCCGTGGCCAGTTAGATTTCCTAAATAGGAATCGTCCCAGATTGAATTAGAGCAACTTCACATCGGCCGTGGGTCAGTGAAGCAGTTTTCCAAACTAGCATCCCACCTAAATCTAGTAGCTGGCACACACCTATTTTGGATGACTGAAGTGAAAAAGCCAAACTTTGTCTAAAGGGGAAGTGTATTTTGAGTCAGAAAAAGGGCAGTGTCTCTGAAGGACATAGTCTTCAGGTCCTCCTTCCTGTCCTTGATCTCCAAATCCTTTCTTTCCTCCTTGGTTGGTTGAGATGTGCCATGGTGGGTATCTCCCAATCATTATCATGCTTTGCAAAACACTTTGCTGGGCATACTCCAATTTTTTTGCCAGAGTATCTAGCCGCTTGTTGACCAGGAACATTTCGTAAACTCTTCTCAGTTAAAAGTCCATGCTTAGTTGTTCTGTCAGAGACTACAGCCAGGACACAGCAAGTTCAGTTGCTGCTTTCTCCAGCTCAGGCCCCTATTCCCCCTTGCTTGTTCCTCAAGGCCAGGAAAACTTCCTGCGCCCCAGTTTCTTACAGCCCAGCAGGGAACTTGTTCCTAGATGTCTGCTCCAAGGCCTCCTTTGAGGGGGCGGGGTGTCGAGTGAAGACTTTTAGCCCATGTGCCACTGTCCATTTCTGGCCAATAGAGGAACGAAGAGAAGAGGCGAGGCAGGTGACTTCTCTGCAGCCACAGGCCAGGCCAGGCCAGCTGATTTCTCTGTGAGCTAGGCCAGTCTGAGCAGCTGGCTACAGATATTCTTTGCCTTCCTCCTTTCCATCATCATAGAAGGACAGTCTCTTATCCATGAATGACCACTGTCTGGAAACACCCACCCCCCACTCCTGGTTGATCCTTGCCAGCTGCCACCCTCCAGGTCTCGCCAGATGTCATAGTGGATTTGAGAGCTGAGCTGGCTGTGGATGGACCACACTTGCCCCCAGAAGACTGTTTTCTTAAAAACTTCATTTCTTTGCCACCATATGCTTTTCGATAATGACTGCCTCAGTGAGTTCTGATGGCCTCTTCCTCTAAGCGAGGCTTGTTGAGCTCTGCTGCAAGGCTTCCGTAGGAGACGGTTCCACGCACCCCTCCCCACTAGAGTGCTTTCCTCTCTCTGGCTCTGGCTGCAGCCCAGCCAGCTCCCTTTTGGGGTTTCTCTCGCTAGCCCTCCCCTCAGCATGTGGGGTTTCCATGATCTCTCTGGTGATGTGGTTCCCTTTCTCCTGCCAGTTCCCGCTCTGCAAAGACTCTCCTCTCCAGGGCCTCGTCACAGACAAGCCTGATTTATGGGCCATATGGCAGGAGCTACCGCCAGCTCACAGCTTTTGTTGCTCAAACCTGGCAAAAGGCTGGGAAAGCCTGTGGGCTGCTCCAGAAATGGCTGCAAAATCCCACCATGGGTGGAGCCACAAGGAGGAGAAGGCGTCTGGGCTGGGCTGGTTCTTTCTTTAGAGGAATGCATTGTAATCATCCCCAACCAGCCAGGAAAAGCCGACTTGACATTAGTCACTGAAGAAATGGGGCCGGGACCAAGGAGTCGCTTTGTACTTTGCTGGCAGCAGGACTGTCTTGAGATTCAGGGGCACTATTTTTCTTCACAGATTCCAAAGCTGAACTCTGACATTTAAAACAGCTTTTCTTTGCTATGTGCTTTCTACGTTCAGGGGATCCTTTCCCACATAGATTAGCTGAGGGAGGAATTCCTTGGTATATGTATGTGTTGCAAAGGACGTAGATGTGTGGATGGAGACTCCTTCCACACAGGCATTATGGCCCAATTTATCTTAATCTTCCCTGTCTCCCAGGAGCAGAAATAGGTCAAGCTCAACTCCTGATAACTTCATTGACACGTTCATACAGTTTTCTTGGCAATATTATGGAAGTGGTTTGCCATTATATCTTCTGGAAAGTCTTTTCAACCTCCCAGTCTCATCTGTAACCCTTGGAGTTCCTGAAGATCTCCTGTTTGAGTACTAACTTGGCCATTTTTCAAGCTCAGCCAAGACTAGAGATGTTGCCACCTGCTCTAGACATCGGCTTAGGTACCCGTTGGTTACATGGACACGTGTGTAGTTTTCTTGGCAACATTATGGAAGTGGTTTCCCACTGTTTTCTTCTGGGGTATTTTTCAGCTTCCCGTTCTGGTCCACATTTCTGAGATTTCCTGAGATCTCTCACCTGAATACTAACAAGGTTGGATCTTGCTCAGCTTTTTCAAGATTAGCAAGGCCAGTTAGGTTTGTTGGCTGCTTGTTCCTTATGTACATAGGCAGAGTAGATCAATCCAAGAAATGGTATTCTAGCTGTTGCTCGAGTACAAAATTTGTATGTGAAGAAGTCTAAAATCTACATCTGCTTATTAGAACAGAACTTTGTGTGTACTGATTCAGCAAGGTGCACAGAAAAGAGGTGCAAATTTGGTTGGTTTTTACTCAGATCAGGTAGGGGGGATTGTTTTTTAAAACAATTATAGATGAGAAGCCATCCTAGTTATTCATAGCCCAACAGGGGTCTCTGTTGACAGTATTCAGGTGCTGAGTTTCATGCAGGTTCCATTCTGCATTGGGGTTGGGGTTACTGTACCATCTCCTTGCCAGACCTTGGAGTTCATTAGCCCCACCGTCCCTGAATTTTGCAGCTTTGGTGGGTAAGCTGTTTGTGTGCTTGGGGGAGCAGGAGAAATAAGTGGTGTGCAAGACAGATTCTTCCCATGACAAGCAGTGAGCCACAGGGTCTTTAAAACCTCCCCCACTCCCCCAGTCTTGCTATTTCTTTTTCCACTGGCCCAGGTACTCTCATTTGACTAGATGAAAATTCAGCTCAGCTGGGAGTTCTATGTGCATCTACTTGCTGTTTGAGTCCCATCGACTTGCAGAGACTACAAGACAGTCATTCAGCTGTTTAGTTGGTAGCTCTGCAGCACCTAGCCTTCCTAGGAAGGTAAGGGCTGCCACCTCTCCAAGGACCGCAAATTTGTAACGCATTGCTCTAGAGAATAGATAAATTTTGTTATGTCAGGCAGTGGTTTTTGGGGAAGAAAGTTTCTCTGTTGGATCTGTATGTTCTCCTTGTGGTATTTTGTGTGGCTTTCACTTCTAAACCTCTAGCTCTTGCTTCACTCAAACAGCTTGCTGGAGTGTAGCCTTTCCTGAATAAATAGTAATAAAGTGCTGTTTCATTTGCAGAATACCATATCTCCCCCCCACCCCCAAGAGAACCCCCTACAAAATCTAGGCCAGGTGCTGCTTTGCATAATCTATTCCATAACTGTCAGCCTTCGCTGCACAGAGTTGTGTGTAGGGAGAAGTAAGGGGAGGGAACATTAGTGGCCTGAACTCATAACATCAGTTGACCACCTTGCTGAGATGCTTTATGACTGGGGTAGGGTTCTAGCTACTTGGGGTAGTATAGACTAGAGCAGTATTTTTCAACCTTCTGACTGGGGAATTCTGGGAGTTGAAGTCCACACATCTTAAAGTTGCCAAGGTTGAGAAACACTGGACCAGAGGCCTACAGTTGCTCTCCAACATCACCCTAGCTCCACCGGACCCTCTGGCTGTGGCCTGTTCTTTCCCCTCCCTTCTTCCTGTATTCAAAGTCAAAAGCAACACAGGCTCAGACTTCAGGGAAGAAATGGCAAACTCATGTGTGGGCCCTGCTCTCTGGGAAGCCACCCTTCATGGTGCTGTTGTGGCAACAACACAGTGCCCATGGTATTCTCTGGATGTGGACTTAAGTGTTGCTTCTTGCCTTTAAAGCCTGTATTAATGTGGAATATTGGGCTACCTGAAAAAACTTGGCTATCTCTCTCTGTGTCTTCTTTGTTGAAATCTCCACCAGAGAATCTGCAGACATGAGAGATGGTAGCCAGGAAAAAAAGTCTTCTGTCTGTAGGCTCTGTAGTGTTGAATTATTTTCCTAGAGAGCCTTTTATAGTGTGTCATTTTGGTGCAGGTTTTTTTCCCAAGCATTTTAAATTGAGCTCCTTGCACAGTATGGGTTTTATGGAGCTTGTTTGCCCTACTGGCTTCTGGGAGTGGTGAGGCTCCGTGTCTGGTTGGGGAAGTCAGAGCTAAAACATAGATCTGAAAGGCAGTATTTGGGAAGCTGTATCAGTTGTGTAGCCAGGAGAATGGGGAGGAAGAATCCTTTTTTCTTAGCCCAGAGTTTTGGTGGCACTGCATCTGTTCTGTTAGTTAATCTCTTCTTTCCTGTGCCTTTCTTAGACTCTCTAAGGATGAATGGTTCCAATGTGGCCAACACAGCCCCCCCTGCAGCCCCCCCTGCAAAGTCCAAGGAGGACCAAGTAGTGAATGGCCATGATGAGAAGGAGAGCAACCCCTTTGCAGAATACATGTGGATGGAGAACGAGGAGGACTTCAACCGCCAGGTGATGCAGCAAAGGGGCCGAAGCTAAGCGTTATCTTGCTTTTGAAGAGCATTTCTACATACAAACACAATTTTTCTGGCTTAGGGGGATAAAAATGAAACAAATGGAGGAGATTGGGCCATTACGTGTCACAAACAATAGGGTAAAATGAGTCTTTCAGCAACAGAAGCATCATTGCTCTGTGGCGTGGTCTGTTGCCTTGTGTGTGGTCTCAAACCGTTGGGCCTCTGGGCCTTCTCTTTGCTCAGCACTCGGGTGAAAGCTGTCCCCTGGGCTTCGTGGTTAGGCAGGTGGGTGCTGCCAGTTTGGATGCCCTTCCACGAGTGTAGAGTCAAGCGAGAAATTCCAGCTCTGAGTCTGTGAAGTGAGAATATGAGGCAGGAAGCCGAGGCTTGGAATCTCATCTTGGCTAGAACTCTGTTCAACAGTCTTGGACAAACTGTACACACTTTCCTCCTCCCTTCCCCTTACAATAGATTTCCCAGCCTTATGAGACTGAGCATATGCAAATCCCCTGTAGATAATTCAACGGATAACTTAGGCTTGTGACAGCAACTGGACTGACAGATTTGGGAGGGAGAGAGGCCCTGGAGGAGCAGAAGAAGCATCACTGGGGAAAATGAAGAAGATGCGTGCAGTGGAATTGCTCAGACTAGTCACTTGTGAACTGCATCCAGCCCTACCATCTTTTGAGGTGTTCTAGGCCTGAGACAGCTAGCAAAATAGTCTCTGAACCTCTTAATCTATTTTAAATAATTTAGTAACCCACTTTTCATGCGCTCCAGGCAGCTTACAGCACCCAAGTTTGAAAATAGGATAACACTACAGAATCCTCAAAGTAGAAGCTATAAGAATAGATCAGAATTCAAATGCTTTGCGAAATCAGAAACAAACGAGAGAGGAGCAGCTGTCCCACTGCCAGGGCACCACGCAAGAGTTTTAGGGCGGCTGCTCTTAATAGTGGAATGCTAAGATGCCTGGAACAGGGAAACTGCAGAAAGCTTTGACCCGCTAATTACAGGAAGCAACAGATCCAAAAGGCCGTGGGACTGCAACTTTGGGAATCTTTAATTGCGAGCAGCAGGGCCTTGAACTCCGCCCACAAAAAAACCAGTTGTTGTCAAACCGGCTGGTATGCTCTCCCTCTCCGCAGACAGCAGACTTGCCTTCAGCGCATGCTGCAGCTTTGGAGTCACCTTAAGGGCCAGGCCTAGGCTGGGCTGCCGCAACACTAGCATTCAGAGGAACCACGAGATTCTGCATCTGACCGGTGGACTGCAGCCTTTGGATGCAGGTCTCCAGTGGCAATTTCAAAGCAGAGTCTGAACGCTGTTCGCTCTCGCCTGTACTCCTGACTTTCGAGGCCCTTAGACTGTTGTTGCTGTTGTTGTTTTTGGAAGGAGCCAGTATCTCCCAGATTCAGGGACCAGGATTTCCTAGCAGGGCTGGACTAGCCTAATCCTGGAAAACCCTGTGGCTGAGTTTACACAGTGCCCTAAGCTGGGTTGAAATGGGTTTGGCTAGTATGTGATTCAGCGTGTTGTGGAAGCCAGGCCTTCACACTGAGCCATAATGCTTGTTTGAGCGTGCTACGCCTTCTGAACTCAGCAACAGTACTTTTTTAATCCAGCTTTAGGATCTTCTGTCTTGTATGAATTCAGACGTATAGACAGTATGTAGCTGGATGTGCCATTATTCTGAATGGCAGAGGGTGGTTTCCACTGTTCATAGCTTCTGTACTTCTCCCCTCACCCAGCTTTCATTTCTCACTGACCTCTCTCTGTTCTAGTCCTAATCTTCCTGCCGCTTCTTTTAGCCAGGGCCTGCTGGCTCCTTGGATTCCCCGCTGTGGGGTGGAGTATTTCTTGCAAACTGAAAGCATAGCAGGAATCCCCTGGAAGGCGAGGGGAGCCCCTCCTTCGCAATCGGGGACTATGGAGAGATGCTGTGAGGTGGGTTGGAGGCTGGCCCGCAGTATGATCCTCCATGTCCATGGCTGCCTGGGCTCCTCCTCTCTGGCTCCTCGTCCACAGTGCTGCCATCAACAAGATGAGAAGGGCTTGAAAACTCTGAAGCTGTTAAAATCCCACAGAATGATCCTGGGATGAATAAAAACATGTTCCAGGAGGGTATTTTCTGTGACTACTGGTTGTGAAAGCCAATGTTTAGTGTCACTCAGAAAGAGATGAGTGGATGTGGGTATTTTAGTGTTCATGTAAGCCCAGAACTGCAAACCACAGTGAATTCCCCAGCAGGAGAGGCAGAGAGATGCTTTTTGTCTGGGGGAGGGGTTTGCCTTATGCTTCCAAGGGGTGCTTGGTGGAAAACTGATGGACATATTTTTTTCACTTGATGTCGAGCTTTGCTTTTTGCCCACAGTCTCCTCTACGGCCTGAGGCAGGATGAGGGAAACCAATCCATTCCCTTTGTTGCTGCTTCATTTATGCTTTGGGCCGCTTGCAAAATGACTTTCTGAGCATGTTTTTGGAATGGCAGGTGAAGTCTGTAGAAAGTTCAGCCCCTGTGGATTATGAGAAGAAGAGAAGATGAGAGTCTTCCAAGAGGCCCTGTAGCTAGAATGAGAACATGTGGTGGGGGTGGGGGGGGCAAACTTGTGCCACTAGCTGTATATGAAGAGCTTATTGGTACAGCTTCTCTCCCAAGTCCATTCCCCAGGAGCAGAGACCCTTGAAGGATCTGCAGAAGCCCAGAAGCAACCGTCTTGAGGAACTTGGACCTAAGTGGGCAGGGCCTGTGCTAATCTCAGGGGAGCAGCAGCTGGAGAGGACTGCTGTTTCTGGGCTCCCCAGGGCCTCTTAGCTATTGGTTATTAGTGGACCATTGGTCTTTTCCAACAAGGCAGCTCTTGCCCTTGAGCTAAACAGCTAGAGATCACCTGAATCCTGGTTGGTCCCTTAGGGGCAAGGAAGGTGTTTGGTGCTGGTGTTAATTGTTGGTGTTACATCAGCATTGGCCCACAGAATGGACACAACTTTGCCTTTTTCATCCTCTGGAAGTTGGCTCTGCAGATAAGGGTGGCTGCCCCTCTGAGCTGCACTCATCTCTGCTTTGGCCAGAGAGGAATAAAACCTGGACTTCTTCCTGGATTTACAGCTTAGAAGTTTAAGATCAGGTCGTGGAGAGTCAGGCTTGGTTTGCCTTCAGTTCTGCTGGAAAGTTGTCACTCATCCTCCAAGACGTGGTGCAAGTGCAACTCATAATTCATCCCTAGCTAGCCAGCAAGCAGGAAAAGATGCCTTGTTCAGTATTCTCCGGTGTTACCATCAGCATTACTGGATGGAAATTGAGTCCCTGGGCACTCCAGTGTGAGGTGGCTGTCTCCCCCAATCTTTTGAAAATCTATGTGAAGTTGCTAGTGGAAGTTGTTAATGTTGATATTAATGGTGATCAGCTTTACATCTTTACCCCAGGCTGAGCAGAAGATAGGGTGGAAGTCTTAGCCTGGTGTCTGTGAGGTGGGTGGAATGGAACAGACTCAGGCTGAATCCCAGTAAGATGGAGTTACTGTTGGTAGAGAGACCTCCTGGATCAATCTCTCTTGATGAGGCAGCACTGTTCCTAAAGGAGTAGGAATGCAGCTGATGGCTTCTCGTGGACTCACAGTTTCTCCTAGAACAGTTAGTTGAAGTCAAGACAATCTTTGACCATCTCCTGCTGGGTCTGCCCTGGTAGATGACCCAGAATCTACAGCTGGTACAGAATGTAGTAGCCTGTCTCCTGATTGCTACTAATTGATTTAATGGAATAACTCCTATTTTAGGGAAGCTACATTCTAGTAGGCCTCTGGCCAAATTGAAGATGGTTCTAATTATCTGTAAAGCCCTGTATGACTTGGGACTTTGTTATGTTGGGAACAATTTGGTCCAGATGTAATCAGGCTAACCAAGGTGGTCTAGTTGGGAGGGGTGCCACAGTTACCCTACCCCTGAGAGGTCAGGGGGTAGAGACCTATAGGATGGCCTTCTCAGTAGCTGTCCCCTCATTTAGAATACCTAGCTCCCCAAGATCTGAATGGTCCCACCTTTTTGTCAGACTGTAAGGGGGTGAAGATTGTCCTCTTTTGCAGGATCTTTGGATTGGAGGGTCTTCGGTAGTGGACATATATAGATGTGGTCTGTTTTTGAGTCTTTGTTAGATGCACTGTGTTTTTATGTATTTTCATATTTTTATAATTGTAAATTGCATTACACTACATAAACTTCTTAAGGAGTGATTAAGTACAGTATGAAAATAATTCAGATTCTTATTTTTAAGAAACAGCTGCATGAGAAAAGTTTAATAAACTTGCCACGTGTTGTCAGACATCAGCTTGTGTCAGACAAGTTCCCAACACTTTTACTGACCTCCTCTTGGATATCTTAACTCTTAACTACAGCCCCCTTCTGTCATTGGTCTTGAGACATGCATTCATGTTCCCTCCCCTCCCTAGTGTGGACATATTGGGGCCTATTTGCAGAGGGGAAGTTCTCTGCAGGCCACGTATGGTTTGAGATCCTGCTTGCCAGGGTGAAGACTTGCGGGGGATGGTGCTGAGATGCACTTCTTGAAACTGGCTAGCTGGTTGCCAGAGGAGACTGCCCTGTGTGTAGTCCCAGCCCTGCCTGTAATAAACCTCTTTTCTGTCTCCTCTTCCCCACCAGGTGGAGGAAGAACTTCAGGAGCAGGAGTTCCTTGACCGCTGCTTCCAGGAGATGCTGGACGAAGAAGACCAGGACTGGTTCATTCCATCCCGTGACCTGCCTCAAGGCATTGGGCAGCTTCAGCAGCAGCTGAATGGACTCTCAGTCAGCGATAACACCCACAGCCACATCTCAGAAGACATTTTGGTAAGGAGGGATGTGAGAGGAAGCCAAGTTATAAGCTGCACTTCAACATTAAAAAAAAACAAAAAACAGCACCTTAATAGTGTTCAGAAACACATACGGTGATCCAGTCCTGACAAAATCAGTGTTATTTGACTTGTGGCAGTTAAACCAGTGACTTTAAGGTCGGCTGCCTTCTGTTTGATCCTGCACACTTGCCAGAGCCCACCTCCCTTGGGCTGAAAATAGATGAACCTTGCTGTATCTTAGCTATGTGGCTTTCTCTTTAATGTGGAGTACTACACCTCAAGTTACAT